TTTTTTTTTTTTTTTTTTTTTTTTTTTTTTTTTTTTTTTTTTTTTTTTTTTTTGATAGCTTTGATTTTTGTGTAAAGCAAGCCTCTTCGGACAACAATTCTAATTCGGATGCTTTCAATATTTTTCTTCCTGATTTATTGTGAGGTTAGTAATTGAATTTCTTTTTAGATCTGATGGAATTGGGGAATTTTTTTTTTTTAGAAATAAAGTTTATGAGCCCTTAGATTTTCATAAAATTGTTCATACATGTGAGGGAAAGTTTAAGTGTTATAAACTCCTCTTAATTTGCATGCATCAAAGTTTAAGTTTAAGTTTATGAATGCCTGACTATCACACCAAAGTGTTATAAGTGAATGTCTGACTATCACACCAATACCTGACTATCACACCAAAGTGTTATAAGTGAATACCTGACTATCACACCACAGACTCTCACCTGTCTCTCAAGAAATACAATGTGACACACAAAACTCCCCCAAATCCTGATACCACTAGTTAGGAATGGAGGGAGAAAACTCTCCTCCCCCAAATCTGACATACTAAATCTGACTACATCTAATCCAAATAACCCAATCGAATCTAATCCAAATAACCCAATCAAATCTAATCAAAATAAAAAGATTAAGATGTGACATTCGATGAGAACCCAATCAAATTTAATCCAAATAACCAAATTAAGATGTGACATTCAGTCTGGAATGTTTTTGCAAAAAATTAAAAATAATGAGAGGCATTGAAGCCGAGAAGGTGGTGTTCTCTCCTGATATGGTTGTTCCTACTGAATAACCTATTGATCGGGTAGATAATAACAGTAAATTGATGGAGTAAGATGCTATTCAGAGGCTGGATAGCTTACACTACTGGCAAGAGAGATGAATCGGCAAATAAATCAAATTTGGGAATGGGTTATAAATGGGTTTACGAACAAAAAGGAATTTTTTTTTTGGTATACTAGGCTTGAGGTATTTTTTTTTTGGTATACGGATTGAGGCTTGAGGTATTTTTTTGGTATACATATTGAGGCTTTTTTGGTATACATATTGAGGCTTGAGGTGGTGGCACAACTCAGTTATCAATGTAAAACTCAGTTATCAACTTCGAGATTGTATGTGGAGATTTTGATTTGGTTATTTAGATTAGATTTGATTGGGTTATTTGGATTAGATTTTTGATTATTTGAATTAGATTTAGTCGTACCGGGGGAGTTTTGTGTGTCACATGGTATTTCGAGAGATTTCACAAATGGTGTCGAGATTTGGGGGAGTTTTGTGTCGCATGGTATTTCGAGAGATTTCTCCCTCCATTCCTAACTGTGGTATTGTGATTTGGGGGAGTTTTGTGTTGCTTTTTGGCCCTTAATTTCAAATTAATTAATTTTAATTAATTAATTAATTGATGTTTTGATGATAACAAACCTACCTTCAATTATTAACCATTCTCAGTATTTTGTCCAGTCCACAGTGCAAGGTTGGGAATAACGATTTCAACAATTTTTTTGGTTCACTCAAATTAGAGATAAAACGAAGAAGTTTCAGTCAAAACAAGATAGCCGACATGATGATGTGGCGGCAAAATTGACATCATGGACTAATCGAATTCAAAACAAGATACCTGTGATGATGTGGTGACAAAATTGACATCATGGACTAGAAGCAAAATTGACATCATAGACCAATCGAAGTATGACATTTACAAATTTAATAGAGTAACTATGGTAGAGTTTTCAATTACATTTATAAAAGTTTTCTATTACTTTTAAATTAAAAGAGGAGTATTTGAATTATAAAATCATTTCAATTACCTTTATAAAAGTTTTCGGTTACTTTTAAATAGAAAAAAATTATAATGATTTCATTTACATTTATGAAACTAGTCGTTACTATAATTTCATTTACATTTATGAAAACTAGTTTTGAGAAAGAAAATTATTTGAATTATAAAATCATCGGTAATTTATAATGATTTTAATTAGATTTATAAAACTTTTCAATTATGGGTAGAAGGTTACTAACCGCTTTCATGAATATTTTTTTTATTATATTATTACATCTAAATATGTTATATATATATTTATAAATTTAAAAATGTGGTCTATAATTTTTTTATGATAAATTTAAAAATAAATAAATATTATTTTTCGTGGTCTTCGTTTTAGTGGCCCGTATCAATTTCTATTTTTACAACTTGATCTCTATTTAAACTTATCACCTATTCATATTTTTCAGAACACAACACAAAACATTTCACATTTCACAATACAAGAGTTTCATAGTTTCCTCGATCTAAACTTTTTTAAAAGCCTCTATTGTTGCTCTCTCCAAAGCTTTCAATTCTATTTCGTTTTTATCTTGTTCTTGAGAGAGATGTCTATTGTATTGTGAGAAAATTGTAAATCTATTACTTTAGAGAGTTGTGTGTTTCTATAAGATTTCAGACAAGTGTATTGGTTTGATCCTAAGCAGTGGAAAGGATTGAGTTTGCTCTTGAACTTGTAAAAAGAGCAGTGTACCGGTTTGATCCTGAGCCGTGGAAAGGATTGAGTTTTCTCTTGCACTCGTAAAAGAAGCGGTGTAGCGGTGTAGCGGTTGGGCTCTGATCCGAGGAAAGAGTCAGAAATTTTTATTCAAATTCCCAAGAGTAAATTTTCTAATCCTCTTCCGGTTTAAATTCTAAATTATTGTTATGTTTTATTGCATGGTATAAGTTTTATTATTATTAAAAAAAAAAATTAATAATTACATGATTGAAACCCTATTCACCCCTATAGGGTTGTCATATCGATCCAACAATTGGTATTAGAGTAGATTGCTCTGATTTATTTTTTTAAACTTTATTTTTAAAGATTATGGCGAATCTATGTGTTAAAATGTTTTCGTGAAGGACAATAAACTTCTAGACCTCTTTATTTTATGATTTTTTTAAACTTTATTTGTAGAGATTATGGCGAATCTACGTGTTAAAAACGGTTTTTGTGAAGGACAATAAACTTCTAGACCTCCTTATTTTGATGGATCTAATTATACGTATTGGAAAGCTAGAATGAAAATTTATTTGCAATCGATTGATTATCAATTATGGTTAAATGTTAGTAAAGGCCCTTATATTCCAATAAAAACTCTTAATAATATTGAGGAGCTTAAAATGGAGGATGAATTTGATGAGCATGATATGAAAAAATGTTCTTTTAATGCTAGTGCTATAAACTGTCTCTATTGTGCCCAGTAATGATGAATTTAATAGAGTATCTATTTGTTTGTTCCGCATATGAAATTTGGAAAACTCTTGAACTAACTCATAAGGGAACAAATCAAGTTAAAGAAACAAAGATCAACGTGTTAGTTCATAATTATGAACTATTTAAAATGGATGCAAATAAATCTATAGGTGATATGTTCACTAGATTTACGAATATTCTAAATGCTTTGAAAAATCTTGGAAAAGTATATTCTACTTTTGAAAATTTGAGGAAAATTCTTAGGTCTTTACCTAAAAGTTGGGAAGTAAAAGTGACGGCAATTCAAGAAGAAAAGGATCTCACAAAGCTTCCTTTGGATGAACTTGTTGGTTCTCTCATGACGCATGAGATTACCATGAAGGAGCGCATAGCAGAGGAATCCAAAAAGAAGAAAAGTATAGCCCTAAACTCCATCACATTGGAAGTTGTCTCCGACGATGAAGAAGTCCTTGATGAAGATGATGTTGCCTACTTCACACGTGTATAAAAATTACATCAAAAGAAATAAACCATTTAGAAAACATTTCACCAACCAAAAAGGTGAGAAGAGCAAACATGGTGAGATAATATGTTATGAATGTAAAAAGTCAGGTCATATAAGACCAGATTGTCCTCTCCTCAAATTATCTAAGAAATCCAAGAAGAAAGCAATGAAGGCTACTTGGGATGATAGTGATGAAAGTGCAAGTGATGAAGAAGTCGCAAATTTTTGCTTCATGGCTCATAGTGACAAAGATGATGAAGAAAATGAGGTAATTCTTGAATCTCTTTCTTACCCTCAATTATTTAAAGTTTTGGAGGAGATGCAACTCGATTTAGAAAAACTTGGTTCAAAGTATGTTATAGTTCAAAAGAAATGTTTCAATTACTGAGAATAAGTCTTTATTAAATGAAATTTCTTGCTGAGAATAATCATAATGTTGTAAAATTTCATACACTGTGAAAAACATGTATTTGATTGTGATGAAAAAACTGCATTAATTGATAAAATTAAATTTCTTGAGCATGATAAGTTAAATAAATTACTCAAAGTAAAGAAATCAAATACTATGCAATAGGGGCTCAAAAGTTAGATAAAATAATTGAAGAAAATAAGCCTTATGGTGATAAAAGAGGATTAGGCTATACTCTTGAATGTTCTATTCCTTCCAGTTCTAAAACCATATTTGTTAAAGCATCTTCCATTATGTCTAAGCTTAACACATGCAAATTTGTATCTCAATATGATAAATCTAGATTTGTGCATATATGTCATTATTGTGGTGTTGAAGGTCATTTTAGACCTAATTGCTTTAAATTGAAAAATTCTCAAAACATTACTTCCATAAGAAAATTTTCTCAAAATATAAAATTCAACAAGGTTCTAAAAAATAATTTTTCTATTGAAAATAGAATACATAAACTTAGTCTAAGAAATAAATTCTTGCATGATGTTGTTTGTTTCTCGTGTGTTAAGTTTTTTAATATGAATGCAAGCATGATTCCTAAATTTGTGAGAATTAATTTGTT